TGTGGCTGAAAGTGCGAACCTTTATGGATGAAAATCACCCTCACATTGCTATTGCAAGCCGTGCTGGTGACTATTACACTGACAATGTTGTGAAACACTTTAGGGAAGTCATAAAGGAACGAGAGGTATAGGCCACTATGGACAGATATGTTGTGCGACAGAAGTCAAGTGACTCTGAAGCTGGTCCTAGTGGCATTAAAAGAAGAAGGTAAGTAACCCCAGAAAAGGACGTGACACCTCAAGACTTAATGGAAGGGGATTCCCCTTCTAAACACTAAGACTCTCTCCTCCTCCCAACCCATCAATCATCACCAGATCTTCAATAAAGGTAAGTGTCATGTAATTGTGCATGCCTTTTTCAGCTTGTGTGTATTAAAATTAATATTTCATGTCGTAAAAAATGTTTTTTTTTTCATACTTTGGGGTGTCTTGCACGGATTAATTTGATTTCCATTATTTCTTATGGGGAAAAATCATTTGCATAACGATAATTTCGCATAACAATGAGCTCTCATGAACGGATTAATATCTTTATGCGGGGGTCCACTGTATTATTATTATTATTAAATAAATAATTTGTAATTTTTATTCACAAAACAATACAGTGGGCTCTCGACCAACAATATTAATCCTTTCCTGAGAGCTCATCGTTAGTCGAAATTATCGTTAGTCGAGTTAATTTTCCCCATAAGAAATAATGGCAATCAAATTAATCTGTTCCCGACACCCCAAAGTATTGAAAAAAAAAATTTTACCACATGAAATATTAATTCTAATACACACAAACTGAAGAAGACATGTACAATTACATGACACTTACCTTTATTGAAGATCTGGTGATGATTGATGGGATGGGAGGAGGGGAGAGTGTCGATGGTGTCAGTGTTTCGAAGGGAAATCCCCTTCCATTAGGACTTGAGGTGTCAAGTCCTTTTCTGGGGTTACTTCCCTTCTTCTTTTAATGCCACTAGGACCAGCTTGAGAGTCACTGGACCTCTGTCGCACAACATATCTGTCCATAGAGGCCTGTACCTCCTGTTCCTTTATGACATTACTAAAGTGTTTCACAACATTGTCAGTGTACAGGTTGCCAACACGGCTTGCAGTAGCTGTGTCAGGGTGATTTTCATCAAAAAACGTTTGCACTTTAAGCCACATTGCACACATTTCCTTAATCTTTGAAGTAGGCAACTTCCTCAATTTCTCTATCCCCTCCTCTGGAGCAGTTTCCTCAGGTCTGGCCTCTTGCTGTTGAAGATGATCTTGCAGCTCATCAGTGGTTAGTTCATCATTGTCCTCCTCCACCAACTCTTCCACATCCTCCCCACTAACCTCCAACCCCAAGGACTTCCCCAATGCCACAATTGATTCCACAACTGGCATAGGCTTCTCAGGGTTAGCCTCAAATCCTTCAAAATCCCTTTTGTCTACACATTCTGGCTGCAGTATCTTCCAAGCCGAGTTCAAGGTCCTCTTAGTCACTCCCTCCCAAGCCTTACCTATAATGTTTACACAATTGAGGAGGCTAAAGTGATCTCTCCAAAACTCTCTTAAGAGTCAATTGAGTTTCTGTGGTCACTACAAAGCACCTTTCAAACATAGCTTTTGTGTAGAGTTTTTTGAAGTTTGCAATGACCTGCTGGTCCATGGGCTGCAGGAGAGGAGTGGTATTAGGAGGTAAAAACTTGACCTTAATGAAGCTCATGTCCCCAGAAAGTCGCTCTGCCACGTCTGAAGGATGACCAGGAGCATTGTCTAATACCACGAGGCACTTAAGGTCCAATTTATTTTCCAGGAGGTAATTTTTCACAGTGGGGGCAAATGCATGGTGTAATCAGTCATAGAAAAAGTCCCTAGTGACCCATGCCTTACTGTTTGCCCTCCACAGCACACACAAATTAGCCTTGAGGACATTGTTTTTCCTGAACACTCTGGGAGTTTCAGAGTGATACACCAATAAAGGCTTCATTTTGCAATCACCACTAGCATTAGCACACACATCAACAGAGTAAGCCTGTCTTTCATAGGCTTATGTCCTGGGAGTGCCTTTTCCTCCTGAGTAATGTAGGTCCTGCTTAGCATTTTCTTCCAAAACAGGCCTGTTTTGTCGCAATTAAACACTTGTTCAGGTTTCAATTCTTCACTGTCTTTGTACTCCTTGAATTCCTGCACATATTTTTCAGCTGCTTTGTGGTCCGAGCTGGCAGCCTCACCATGCCTTATCACACTATGAATGCCACTACGATTCTTAAATCTCTCAAACTAACCTTTGCTGGCCTTAAATTAACTCACATCACCACTAGTTGCAGGCATTTTTCTAATTAAATCATCATGCAACTTTCAAGCCTTTTCACATATGATCACTTGAGAGATGCTATCTCCTGCTATCTGTTTTTCGTTTATCCACACCAATAACAGTCTCTCAACATCTTCTATCACTTGTGATCTCAGTTTTGAAAACAAAGTCGCACCTTTGGCAAGAACAGCTTCCTTGATTGCTGTTTTCTTGGCCATAATAGTAGCAATGGTTGATTGGGGTTTTGTGTACAACCTGGCCAGCTCGGAGACATGCACTCCACTTTCATTCTTAGCAATGATCTCTTTCTTCATATCCATTGTAATTCTCACCCTTTTTGCTGTAGGGTTGGCACTAGAAGCTTTCTTGGGGCCCATGGTGACTTATTTTGCAGGTGCAATCACTAAAAACGCTGTGATAATATGAAATGTTCCGATTGTATGTTTGGATGGGACTGTGGTGACTGGCTGGCTTGTAAACACTGGCACCCATGGGACAAGTGAGGCGCGCTCAGACCACAAGTGGACACGCCTCAAATGGAACGAATCGTGTTGGTCGAGTTTTTTAGTGCTAGTCGAGGCAAAATTTTTGCGTTAAAATGTATCGCTAGTCGGATTTAACATTATACGTTGGTCGAGGGTCCATTGTATAAGATTTACTGTTATGCCTTACTGCAACAAATGTATAAATAATGTCAACCCATTCACGACTCCATACTGGAATGGACAGTGATGTCATTTGTTTACTCTTGAACATAGCCAAAACAATCGAACATTTCTCCTGTGTTGAGCTCAATTTCAAGGTACTTTTCATTGTGAAATCAATCAAACTCATATCTATTTCTGTAATGTATCTTCCATTCTATCAAATGAGACCAAAAATACGAAAATACAACCATAAAAACTAAACGAAAATACTGCTAAGGGGTGGCTAATTGCTGAGAAGTGAACTCCATTATTTATGCTTAGGTTTCTTTCATTTTTGGTGTACGTTAAGAAGCATGTTTCCATCATACATTGTCCAAGTTTCAATAAGATAGTCCAACAAAGAAATGAGATACAATTCCCTAGATCAAGAGTAAGAGCCCCTCACCAGTGTCAAGGAACCTGCCTTGAGGTCCTTGAGGTCTGCTCGCTTTTGGAAATTTTGCTTGCATATGGAAACAAAAAATTGACCTATCAACTGTTCGTATTTGGAAAAACTTGCACGTGGATGCACTTGCAAGTAGAGGTTCCACTGTATTTATCCAACCTATTTTTAAAACTACACAACGTCTTAGCTTCTATAACGGTACTCAGGAGTTTGTTCCACTCATCCACAACTCTATTACCAAACCAGTGCTTTCCTATATCCATCCTGAATCTGATCTTTTCCAATTTAAAGCCACTGCTGCGAGTTCTGTCTAGGATAGATATTTCTAGCAGATCTTTATTAATTCCTGTTTTCCATTTATACACCTCAATCATATCCCCCTTAATTCTACGTCTTTCTAGAGAGTGAAGATTCAGGGCTCTCGGTCTATCCTCTTAGGGAAGATTTCTGATACATGGGATCATCTTTGTCATCCTCCTTTGTACGTTTTCCAGTGCATTTGTATCTATTCTGTAATACGGTGACCAAAACTGCACGGCATAATCTAAATGAGGCCTAACCAAAGATACAAAGAGTTGAAGAACAACCTGAGGGCTTCTATTATTTATACTTCTTGCTATAAAGGCAACAATTGTTGGTTTTATTGTGAACACTTATGCACTGTTGTCTTGGTTTCAGATTACTGCTCTTCATTTAAAAAAAAAAAAAAAAACTTTCCAAAATATTCGGAGCGCTACGCGAGTGAACATAGAGCTACGTTTGGACAGTTTAATAAACACAGAAGACATTCCAGCCATTAGTCACATGCACAGCCTCTCCTATAAAATATTTATGCCATTTTAAGGCCTATTTTGTGCCACTTTTAGTCTGAAACTGACCATAATCATAAGTTTCACTAGTGTGTCTTCCAGTCTATCATCACTAAGAAGTAAGATATAAAAACCAACCTAGAAAATACATCAGAATTACTATTTAATCTACTTAAGTTCAAAGGTTAGCCGCTCCTATCATGCAGATATTTTTTAAAACTGTTCACTCCCACTGCACAGGCCCATACTTTAATGTCCAGACCAGAGTTAGTGCTCACAGCATATCTGAGGGCACTATGATTAAGACATAGATCTATGTATGTGACAATGATCCTACTAACTTAACATTTACATGAGACACAAAGTGTTAAGCAGTGCTAGAGAGAGAGCATAAATGGGAAATCTCTACTTGCTCTTATATCTTGCCAAGGGTAGTACTCCCATAGATGATAAAGTCCAATGGTTCCATTACACATTTTGTTAAACCATTCAAAATACCTGAAGTTGGGTGTCAAGCTGAAAAATTACTTCACATACTGTGTCAATTAGTCTCCAATACTGCAGCTGCATTTTCTCTGCACACACTGGTCCTTGTAGTGCTAAAATATGTTAGGCCTGGTCTCTAAGTTGTAGCCTCATCCATATATTTAGTTGGTGTCTGATATGCATATCTAGCCTCTCTTATAATTTTGCAACAATATACATACGAGCTTTGTATTTCTTGTCATTAAAAAGGCTTTAATAGACTTAAGTAGCAGGATGGCATATTCACAACATACATATGCAAAGTTACACAAAATTACCTTAAGTGTTTTGAGAGCAGCTCCCTGGAAGGCCACTGGAGAGAGGAGAGTTGGTGGCACACCAGCTAATGGACCAGTGGCTGACACACAACTCTTACTGTTTAACAAGAAGTTGATAAGGCCTTGTGTCTCCATGCCTTCCACATACACAAGAGATGAAGGTGTGTTATCAACGCTTTTATACTTTGTTCTTTCTCTGCAAAAAATACAAATACATTACATAGACATTATTGTTTTAATACACATCAGCTGTTTTCCACCAAAGTAAGGTGACCTATAGAAGGTAGATGTAATATTATAAATGACAGTTGTCTGCCACTGCAACATGGTATCTTCAGCAACTCTTTTGCTAACCTGCTTCCACTAGTGGGCAAAACTCAACCTGTGATCTCATCTCCAAGTTGCTACACCTCATCTTCAAGAATACAGTGGAACCTCTACTTGCGAGTTTAATCTGTTCCATGACCTTGCTTGCAACTGGATTTGCTCGTTTGCAGAATCAATTTTCCTCATTTAAATTAACTGAAATGCAATTAATCCGTCCCAGTGGAATTCTGTACGTACTTCAATAATTTCGCTAATATCAACTCTACGGCTTATTTATCTATCTCACTTCATCTAATATGACATAATAAACAATATAAATAACATAGAAACCTGATATATACTCTAAAATGAATAAAATATGTCACTCATGTAGTGGTATGGGCGGTGTCGGCGGTGGACGAGAGTTTGTCTGGAGACCGGGCAAAATACTTCATGAATAATTTCACTAATATCATCTATACGGCTTATTTATCTATCACAGTTCATCTAGTCTGACATAATAAACAATATGAATAACATAGAAACATGATATATACAGTGGACCCTCGACCAGCGATGGCATCGATTAACGATAAATCTGACTAGCGATACATTTTAACGCAAAAATTTACCTCGATTAGCGCTAAAAAACTCGACCAACACTATTCCTTCCATCTGAGACGCATCCACTTCTGGCCAGTGTTTACAAGCCAGCCAGCCACCGCGGTCGCTTCCAAGCATACAATCGGAACATTTCATATTATCACAGCCTTTTTAGTGATTGCACCTGCAAAATAAGTCACCATGGGCCCCAAGAAAGCTTCTAGTGCCAACCCTACAGCAAAAAGAGTGAGAATTACTATGGATATGAAGAAAGAGATCATTGCTAAGTATGAAAGTGGAGTGCATGTCTCCGAGCTGGCCAGGCTGTACACAAAACCCCAATCAACCATCGCTACTATTGTGGCCAAGAAAACGGCAATCAAGGAAGCTGTTCTTGCCAAAGGTGCAACTATGTTTTCGAAACCGAGATCGCAAGTGATATTAGATGTTGAGAGACTGTTATTGGTATGGATAAACGAAAAACAGATAGCGGGAGATAGCATCTCTCAAGCGATCATATGTGAAAAGGCTAGGAAGTTGCATGACGATTTAATTAGAAAAATGCCAGCAACTAGTGGTGATGTGAGTGAATTTAAGGCCAGCAAAGGTTGGTTTGAGAGATTTAAGAATCGTAGTGGCATACATAGTGTGATAGGCATGGTGAGGCTGCCAGTTTGGACCAAAAAGCAGCTGAAAAATATGTGCAGGAATTCAAGGAGTACATAGACAGTGAAGGACTGAAACCTGAACAAGTGTTTAATGGTGACACTGACAATGTTGTGAAACACGTTAGGAATGTCACAAAGGAACGGGAGGTACAGGCCTCTATGGGCAGATATGTTGTGCAACAGAGGTCCAGTGACTCTCAAGCTGGTCCTAGTGGCATTAAAAGAAGGGAAGTAACCCCGAAAAAGGACTTGCCACCTCAAGTTCTAATGGAAGGGGATTCCCCTTCTAAACACTAAGACCATCAACACACTCCCCTCTTCCCATCCCATCAATCATCACCAGATCTTCAATAAAGGTAAGTGTCATGTAACTGTGCATGTCTTCTTCAGTTTGTGTGTATTAAAATTATTATTTCATGTGTTAAAATTTTTTTTTTTTCAATACTTTTGGGTGTCTTGCACGGATTAATTTGATTTCCATTATTTCTTATGGGGAAAATTAACTTGACTAACGATTATTTTGACTAACGATGAGCTCTCAGGAACGGATTAATAGCGTTAGTCGAGGGTCCACTGTACTCTAGAATGAATAAAATATGTCATTCGTGTAGTGGTATGGGCGGTGTCGGCGGTGGACGAGAGTTTGTCTGGACACCGGGCAAAATTCTTAATGAATAATTTAGCTAATATCATCTATGAGGCTTATTTATATATCATGGTTCATCTAATATGACATAAGAGACAATATAAATGACATAGAAACATGATATACTCTAGAATGAATAAAATATGCCATTATGTAACAGGTGGAAGAGGCCACAACCGCTCCCTCTTTGTTGTGGTAAACACTGTCATCTAGTGATGGGCTTTTGAAGCCATCTATTATTATAATTATTATATGTAGTACATTATTATATATGTATCATTATACATATTATTATTATTATTATTATTATTGTATACTATTATTATATTATTATTACATGTATTGCTATTATTCATATTATTATTATACATATTATTATTATCGTTATTATTATTATATACATAAATTATTTGTAATTTTTATTCACACAAAAAATGTATAAGATTTACTGTTATTCCTTAATGCAATAATTGTATAAATATGTCAACCCATTCACGACTGCATATTGGAATGGACTGTGACATCATTTGTTTACACAAACAGCCAAGCAATGGACCATTTCTCCTGTGTTGAGCTCTATTTCAAGGTACTTTTCATTGTGAAAGCAATCAAAATCATATCTATATCTGTAATTTATCTTCCATTCTATCAAATGAGACAAAAAAAAAAAAAACGAGAATACAACCATAAAAACCATTTGAAATTACCACTAAGGGGTGGCTAATTGCTGAGAAGTGAACTCCATTATTTATGCTTAGATTTCTTTCATTTTTGGTGTACATTAAGAAGCATCTTTCCATCATACGTTGCCCAAGTTTCAATAAGGTAGTCCAACAAACAAATGAGATACAATTCCCGAGATCAAGAGCACGAGCCCCTCACCAGTGTCAAGGAACCTGCCTTGAGGTCTGCTTGCTTGTGTAAATTTTGCTCGCGTATGGAAGCAAAAAATCGACCCATCGACTGCTCGTATTTGGAAAAACTCACATGTGGACACGCTCGCAAGTAGAGGTTCCACTGTATAGGCCTCTGGTCAACTGCTACTGCTTCAGGCTAAGAGACTGATCATCTTGCACCTGAGATGAAGGACTGATTACATAAAATTACCTCTTCACATCATCTTCCACCATCACTGATGTCTCCTGGAGTGTGATTCATTTCTGTATTTAACACTTTCAGGGTCTGTGCCGTGGTTCTAGTGGCCTCAAATTTAGCACGAGAAGGCTGGAAAGCCTACATCTAAGAGAATGGGTCAGCGTGGTCAGTGTGCGCAGTAAATAAAAATTCTGGGCGCCTGCATGGCACTGTGGGAACACTGCCTAAATATGCTTGTATGCCTGACAGCAAGGAAGCTCTCACTCCCTGGCGAATTCTGACTCTCTTCTCAAGTTATAGTTCTAACACTGATGGAGCGAATCTAAAGAGGAATTCTGTGATTCTGAACCATATGGTACATTGTACCATGGTACATTGTACCATATGGTACATTGTACCATATGGTACATTGTACCATATGGTACAATGGTACCATATGTTACAATGGTAACATATGGTACAATGTACCATGTGGTACTTTATATCATATGGTACAGGGACCCTAATGGAAATATGTCTGTCTGACTTTTTTGGGCTATCCTAGAATCTTTACACATATGCTGCTATGTATGATAATCTATGTAACTGCATCTGTGTATGCCTGAATAAACTTACTTACGATGCCACATGTGCTCGAGTAAGTTTATTCAGGTATGCACAAATACAGTTACATAGATTATCATACATAGCAGCATATGTGTAAAGATCCTGGGGTAACCCAAAAAAGTCAGGGTGACTTATTTCCATAGGGATCCCTGTATCTGTACCATATGGTACCCTGAACCATATGGTCAGTAGGTGGTGGTGCCACAAGGCACCAGCCCAGACTGGGAGTGAGTCTGGGACTCAAGCCACTGACTCAGCAGTTTCCAAGACAAAGCGCTTCATCATCCACCAGTGGAAGATGACTGTGACTGAAATGTATTTGTTGTTTTGCAACAATAATGCTTATGCCTCATGTCTAAAGGCATAATATAAAATCATACTGGTCTACAGATGAGTAAGACACCACTGTAAATGACACCTTCTTTCAAAGACTTTCACAGACTGCAGCAGTTCTAGGAACTTGTCCAGTGACTGTACATATGTAAATACATAATAGAACATTACTAATATACAACATTTTTGCATTTTTTTTTTTTGTAAACAAGTTTTGTAAATAATGTAATGATAAACAAATTATTGTTATTGTGTTCAATACAAAGAGTGTACAATTATACATTATATTAGTCTCACAGGCCACAAAAGTTACTGGAAAAAAAATATAAGAAAAGAAAAAAGTAACAAAAACGTAAAATAAAAAAAAATTAAAATTTACGGAAGTTGTGGATATTGCCGCCACCCGGTAAGTACTGATCAGAAAAAAAAATTTTGTTTGTTTTATTACCTAAAAAAAATATTATCTTTAAATACTGTAATTTTTTTTTTTTTTTTTTTTTTTCAAAAATTCTTGGACCATGGCTCACACTTTGAGATTTGACCTCTGGACCCTGAAAGGGTTAACTGCTAAAGCCTGGATTGCAGGCAAAATATTTTGTCAATATAGATTCCTAGTGTTGCACATGTGTCTTATCAAACAAGTTGTAAGTCTGGAGAAGTGGGATTCTCATAGAGTCTAATATGTTCTAGTGAAATCTGTTTTGATCTTCATGTTAAAAACATGCTGAAAGACAGAACAACAAACTGGTAAGTCAGAACCTTATTGTCACTTCCAACAAGCCTGACCTAGAGAACATGTTGTCTGGTACACCTCTCAGGCAAACAAGTGTTGTGAGTGTGTGTGCGCGTGCATTCGCGCACACATGCACTATGCATCTTCCATTTTGTCCAACAATTCCGACATTTGTCTGGCCAATTTGTTTTGTCTGGAAC